TTTTTGGTATATTTCAAATCATGTGAATTAAATATATTCTTTTTATTTTTAATTGCAGACATAGAAGAATATTGCATGGAAGTGTTATGTAAGGTAAGAAGAATCTTGGGCCACATCTGTAACATCTCTTCCACTCCAGGTTTCTCGTCAACGTAAGCCAGGAGCTCAGGTGTCCGTCCAAACCCTGGGGAGGCTTCCAGGCTATAGACTTCTACGAAAATCGAATGCTATTTGGAACGATAGCCAGCACGGATGAAGCATTGACTGTGTGTCAAGTCCTGCTCCGAGCAATTGGCAGAAGAGGAAACTGAGTCACAGGGAGGTTAAAGTCACCACCTGTGGTGACAGAGCCAGATTTGCACCCTGCAATTCTGTACTAAATTGCTTTCCATTCGGAGAATTTTTTAAAAAATCACTTTATTTCCATAAAGCTGTTGGCCAGATCTAGGCAGTTAGTGTGTGGACTGCAACAAGGACAGAGTTCCTATTCTGAGACAGGTGTGGGCACCGCCAGGCAGAGGGGACCCTCGAAATCGGTCCCCGAAACACGTATCTTGGGTCACTTAAGAGCACTGCTCTCCGGAAGAAAGCGCTTTTACCAGAAACAGACACGATGAAGCGTGCCGCTCCTTTCCCCACCGTTCTGCTCTGCGAGCATCAGTAGTGCCTCCCCGGCGGGGCGTCACCCAAGAGAGTGGAGCGCTTATGCCCACGGAAGAGCCCAGATCTGAATGTTCGCAGCGGCATCGTTCACAGTGGCTGAGGAAGGACGGAGACGTGGTCTGTCCGTGTGGGGGAGGAGGCGGAGGTGTGGTGCCCGCTTCAGCGTGAACGGACCTTGAAGACACGATGCTCGGTGAAAGAAGCCAGTGTCTGTGTCAGGGACGAGGGGCAGCAGCACATTGTCCTGGAGGTGGGGCAGTGTCCCGATGGCAATGCTTGGGCAACCCGGGGCAAACCCTGCAGGGCACTTGTCTCCCCTCCCACTCCAGGAAAGAGGCCAGGGTCACCGTCTTACAGCGGATGTGGCCTGGCTGGGGACGCGTGCTAACGTACACGGAACAATGCACATGCGTGTTTGGAGTCAGCCTCCTTGCTGAGAGCGTGCTGGACAGGCAGGCGGACGCCTGCAGGAGCCGGCTCGGGCCACAGACTGGGCGGCTTCAACAGCAGACATTCACTTTCTCACAGATCTAGAGAGCGGAAGTTCAAGGTCAAGGTGTCGACAGGGCTGGTTCTCCTGAGGCCTCTCTCCTTGGCTTGCAGACAGCCACCTTCTCCATGTGCCCTCACGTGGCCATCCCTAATCTCTTCTTATAAAGACAATAGTCATATTGCATTAGAGCCCTCCCCCCCGCCAGGTCCTCATTTTACCTTAATCACTTCTCTAAAGACCCTGTCTTCAAACACAGTCAGCATCGGAGGTACGGGGGTTAGGGCTTCAACACAGGGATTTGGGGGAACACAGGTCAGCCCATCACAAAGGCCGAGGCGAGTGGATACAACTTCTGATTGTGTATGTGCGTTTTCTTCCCTAGGAGATGGTAACCTTCCTGGATAAGCTGGTAAGTCATTATTTTGAACCGATCTCTTTGGAGAAGTCCGTTTGGCCTGGGTGATTAGAGAAAAGGTCTAAGCGTTTGAGGGTGTCGGCTGCCGGTGCCTGGAGCAGGATGGAAGGGCAGGGGGCACACTTAGGGGCAGTTGAGGGTGTGCGGGGAGAGTCGCAAAGACGAAGGTGGAAAGAACAAGGAGTGTTCGGAGGACAGTGTGGAGACAAGCTTGTTTCCTGCTTGTTTTTTAATGAAGAGCGAGTTGCAGGAAACAGGGGTAGAGACCTTTTCTGTCTTCGAGCCAGGGAATGTAGCAGGGGTACCCCCTGGGCGTAAGTGCACACTGTGATGCTTGTGCGACGTTGCGTTGTTCAGATGTCCCTGTCATTAAGCGACATGTCACTGTAGACACTCAGTGAAGGGGAGCCGATGTTGTCATTGTTAGTAGCAGCAGCAGAGAGGAAAGAGAGGCAGAAAGAGAGAGATTAAAGAAGCTTTTGAACGGTTACTGGTAAATTAATGAGGGGAGCTCCCAAAAGACCGGGGGTGGGGTGGGTAGAATCAAAATCATTCACTTAAAGACGTATGTGGACACGTGGCAGACAGTTATACTTCTTTTAAGATAGAAGGGAGGACAGGGCCACACAAAACTGGATTTGTGGGAAGGTGGAGAGGGAGGAGGAGCCCACGGCCCGTGGCCTTGGTCGGCTCAGAGAACTAAAGGGCCAACCATTTGTGCGGGGGTCTGGGCTGATGGGGGCGGGCGTGGAGGGTGGATATGGGACATTCGGAGCAGCAGCTGCCATGGGTCGGGGAGGAGGCCCTCGCATCGAGGGGCTGGCGGAGGGCTGGGCCTCTTGGGGCCAGAGGTCTTGGGCTGTCAGCACCTCACTCCCGAAACCTGCCCACGCTCGGTCCCCTTCCTTCTTCTCATGCAGGGCCTCTCTCAAGCCGTGTTCATCGGCCACGACTGGGGAGGCGTGCTGGTGTGGAACATGGCTCTCTTCTACCCCGAGAGAGTGAGGTAATCAGGCCTCAGCACAAGCGTTTGTGGGGGGACTGGGCTTGCATTCCCACGAGAATTGTTCCTCGGATCTTTAACCCCAGAAAACTGGAAAACAAGTAGGTGATCTAGGAAGGTGACGATACTGTAGCTCTTTAGTGCCCACTGACACGGTAACAAGGAGGCCTGATGAGCTACAGTTTGAGGAAGCAGCCTCTGTCCCAGTTACAGGCAGTGGGACAAATAATCTGGGGCCCGAGTGGCCAGTGGGAGCACAGACGAGTCATGGCTGACCTTGAGGGGTCGCAGTGAGGCAGCAGGGGAGTCGGGGTTGTAGAGTTGAGTGCCAAGAAGGACTTCAGCCCTGGACTGGGAGTCAGAAAATATGGCCTTCCATTCTGCCCCACCCTGGCTATGTGACAAATCCTTCACTTCTTGGGCCTTGGCGTCCTCAGCCGCAGAATGGCAGCGGTAACTCCCACCCCACAGGTGTGTGCGGCCACGCTCCCTCTGAACTGGCGGACTGCGGTTAAAACCCGCCTGACCTCCCTCGTCAGCCTGGGGTCTTAGTGAGTTAGACAAACACCATCCTCAGCGGCCGTCTGTGTCTCCCTAACTAATCCAGTTACTTGTATTTGCTAAGTTTACAAGATCAGAACCGTCAGGGAACTTGGTGCAGCTTCAGTCTGGCTCACGTGGTAGGATTATATCAAAGGCTGAAAAGAATCAAATCTCCCCACCCTTAAAAGCCAACGCAAATGCTCTCTTGTCCACGAGGTCTTCCATGACGCCCAAAGCCAGAAATTCCTTTGGACTCCTGTGGCTGCTCTGTGGCTCGCATCCCAGTCTGTCCCATAATGCAGTCATGTGTGTATTTTTCTATTCTTCCTTATTAGATTATAATAAGCTCATTGCGGAGAGAAATTTATTTTATATTCTCTCTCCCCTAGTATATAGCACAGAATTACACTCAACCCAGAGGAGACACAGTGAGTGAATAAAGGGAGGGAAAAAATGAAGGCATTTCTAAAAACTAGAGAGAGATTCGAGTGTCCCCATATTCTAATCAGGTTGATATAGTGCACGTAACGTGTGTGTGTTTCTAGTCCTAAGGCAAGTAGGTGAGAAATATTGCAGTTTAGTGGGAAAGAAACACGAACTATGAATCAAAAAATCTGAGTTCGAATCCCGTTCTCCCACACACTGCCCGTATGAGACCTCAGACACATCATTTTCCCGCTCTGGGTTTCAGTTTTGACATGCACGGTCCTTTCTGGTTCCTGCAGACCATCTTCTCACAGCATCCATGTCCTGTTGCCTCTTATTTCTGTAGGGCGGTGGCCAGTTTGAATACTCCCTTCTTCCCGGCAGATCCCAGCGTGCACCCCCTGGAGAGTATCAAAGCCAACCCAGTGTTTGACTACCAGCTCTACTTCCAAGAACCCGTGAGTGGGCCCTGGGGGCTGCGATGCCACGTTCTTGTTTGTCTTTCCCCTTCCTGCCTCCTTCCTGTCTGCATATCTCTGGCCCCTGTAATCTTCTGTGGCATTGGACAGAAATGATTTTACAAATGGGCTCGGGCGAAACTGGCTGCAGCATTCAGCTGGTGCTTTCCAGGTGGAGGCACATTTGTGCGTGTGCATGTGCGTGTCTGTGCATCTGTGTTGGGGGTGGGAAGGAGGAGGGTGCAGGGGATGGTGCACCAAGTTCTCCTGCTTCTCTGAAATTGTGGAACGTAGCCCGTAGCTCGGGGCGTATTAAGAGCTGCCCCTTACTTGTTCTCTGGCTGAGAGGCTGGTGACACCCACCTCTCTTGGTGACAGCTCTGGGCCTCTCTGCGCGGAACTGGTGTCTCTGCTCACTGAAAAATGAGCTCTGTGATTGCAGCACCCGGGGTCTAAGGGTCTGCAGCAGGCAGGTCCCAAGTGCACTTTGGAGAGGTCAAGAGGGGCTTAGGTATCAACCCGCGTGCCACGAGATGCCCCCTGAACGGTAGGTGATATGTGTGTTGGGGTGTCTGTGCCACCACTGGCTGGAGCTCTCCGAGAGCAGTGTCAAGAGTCAGTGTCATCTGCCCTAGTGCCCCCCCCAGCTGCCTTCTTCTATGGCAGGTGCCCGATACTCATCTGTTTGCAGGCTCTGGAGCCCAAAGTCCAGCTAAGTCTGGATAATTCCAGAGAGAAGAAAAGATGTTTCCTTCACTCTCCAAAGGGAGACGAAGAAAGGGATATGATTAACAAGGAGCGTGAGAGGTGTCCCCACATCCCTCCCCCAGCCTCCGCCCTCTGGTGCCCTTAGGAGGCGCCACTGCTGGTGAGGACCGTCCCAGTTTCCATTCAACGAGTAACTCTGCTCTCACGACGATTTTCATTGATAACTGGCGCCTGTGTGCTGCAGGCAGTGACCTCGTCTGGTAAGACGCCCGGAGTCTCCACAGCCTTTTGGAAAGATGCTCAGTGCATCATGTCCTGCATCCTAGAGCAGGGCCAGGGCCGGCCTTGCCGTGGCCTGGTGTGCGGGAAGCGCTGAGCTTCCTCTGGCTTGAATGGAGTCGGAATGTCCGTAGTCCGGTTGAGGTGGTCTGAATCGGAAGGGATGGATGTGATGTAGATGTGTATTACTTTGCTGGGGCTGCCATGACACAAGCCGCAGCTTCAGCTACAGACATCATTCTCGCGCAGTTCTGGAGGCGGGAAGTCCAAGGGCAGGGTGGCAGCGGGGCTGGTTTCTCCCGAGGCTTCTCTCCTCGGCTTGTAGACGGCGTCTTCTCCCTGTGTCCTCACATGGTCGCACCTCTGTGCATGTCTGTGTCCTCATCTCTGCTTACAAGGACACCAGTCATCTTGGATTAGGGCCCCCCACAGAACCTCGTTTTACCTTAATCACCTGTTTAAAGGCCCCATCTAGTACCACGTTCCGCGGTACTAGAAGTTAGGGCGTCAACACGGAAATTTGGGGGGGGTCGCAATTCAGCCCATACCAGACGGGGAAAGGGGAAAAGGGACAGTGCCCTGGTGAGGGGAAGCAGACGGGTGGCCACAGCGTGGGTGCTGTGAGAAACTGGCCTGCTCGTAGTGAGACCCGGGGGCGTGGGGCAGGAGGAAGTGACCCTCGTGTGAGACCTTGACGGTCGGCCCCGGTGCGTAGTCCGTGTCAGAAGTAGCGGAGACTCACTCCAAGCTCGTCCGTCCCCTGTAACGCACGGGTCTGCGTACATTTTTCCAGTGAGACTGGAAGCCGGAATCCCAGGCTAAGGTGTGATCTACCGAGTGTCACCTTTCTGGGGCGTTTGCTTCACCCTCGTCCACCTCCAACTGGTGAAGTAGCGGTGGTGGGGAGAGAAACTGGTGTCAGTTCTAGGCCGTTGAGTGGCAGCTGCCTTGGCCTTAGGGAACTGAGCGGGGACAGAGCCCCAAGAAAAACTGAGGAGGTGGTGTTCTGGTCCCCCCACCTCTCCCCGATCTCTGGTTCTGCCTGGCCCCGGCCCCAAGAACCCACCATCTCCCACTGGCCTCTGTGTGCCCAGAGCCACCTCCCCAGGGGACCCCGCCCCACCAGGCCCTTCCATCACCTCCAGCGCCGTAGCCACGGCTCACGTCTTTACCTTCTTCCCTCACCCAGCCCCCCCCCCCGCCTGGCTGCAGGTTACAGCAGGCCCTCAACACCCTGGCCCCCAGTCCCCAAATGGGGTATAAATTGGGGTGATGCCTGTGGGTACTTTCTCTCCCCCCTCTTTTTTCCTTTTTCTCTTTCTCATCATTTTGAATCGAACATTTGTAAGACTCTTATCTGTTGCAAAACAGAGAGGCTCCCAATGTGGGTGAGGGGTTGACCATTACAAATATGTTTCAGTGTCAGAAATGTTTTGACTGTTTCTCGTGAAGAGTTAATATTCGTTAATTCATCTAGCTGATACTTATGCACCTTTTGTCCGGTGCCAGTTTCTGCAGGAGATATGGAGATGAGTGACCCTCCAGGGCTAAAGAATTCTTGGGGGGACGGGGAGGGAGCAGACACGGGGAGAATCCGCAGCAGGAAGGACACCTGAGTCTGGCTGCCCACAAGGAAACAAAGTCACTTCTCACCGCGGGAGAGAACATGGAGATGGAGCCAGGAAGATGAGTAGGATTGGGCGGGTGGACTGAGAGGGACGGGACTCCACCTTGAGGGAACGGAAGGCCGAAGGAAGATGCAGGTAAAACTTGCTTACCCCAAAGGTCGGTATCATGGGAGATGAGCCAGCTCCTAACAGGATATCAGGGGTCCTCAAGGTAGGTTCCAGAAGGCCTGGAACGTCTTGAAATTGCTCACAGAATTTAGTATGTGTGTGCATTTTTCAAGGGGAAGAGTCCCTGACTTTCATCAGAGCCTTAACACGTCAATAGAAGCTGAGCGCTGCTGGGTTGGGGGGCCTTGCTGTACCAGGTGTGGTGCCCCAGGGGGCAGCAGCGTGACCTCACCTGGGAGCTGGTTAGACGTGCCCGTTCCAGCTCTGCCAGCCAGGACTCTGCGTTTTACCAGATTCCCCAATTGATTCATACGCACATTAACTAACCGCCCAGCCAGGGCTTCCCCGCTTGCAGTTCCCTAGCCCAGGGATCCTCAAACGTCAGTGTGCATCAGAACCACCTGGAAGGCTCAACCAAACACAGCTCGCTGGGCTCCACCCCAGAGTTCTGACTCAGTAGGTTTGCTGCGGCCAAAAAACATGCATTTGAAACAATCCCCCAGCTAATGCTGCTGGCGCTGAGGACGCACTTTGAGAACCACCAGTAGAGCCCCAGGAAAGCAGCTCCCGTGGCATCTTCCAGGTGGGGCGGGCGTGGACGGCCAGTTCTTCTCAGGGAGTGAGAGACGATGCAGGAGCAGATCTTGAAGGGCATTGAGGGTCTCAGGAATAATAGCTTTTCTTTATTGCATTGATCCTGAAACTTCGTGGAATTAGGCCCCCTTGACACTCTTAAAAATTAACGAGGACCTCAAAGAGCTTTAGTTAATGTGAGTTATACATGTTGATATTTACCATGCTAGAAATGGAAACTTTAAAATACTTACTAATTCATTTGAAAATAACAGTAAATGCGCATGTTAACTCAAACAACATTTTTATTTTAAAAAACTATATTTTTCAAACCCTTTTCATGTCTGGCTTAATAATAGACACAGCTGAATTCTGATAATTATGTCTTCATTCAGGCTACAGCGATATCACAGGTTATGTAGCCTCTAGAAAACTCACTGTATGCTTATGAGAGCGTGAGCATGAAAAAGATAAATAACACGCTGGTATTATCACTCTCTTATCTCCTAAGCCAAGCAAACAGAGGCTCTGAGGGGTTGACTGGCCCGAGACCAAATACCTGATCGGGTCAGGATATCTGCCTACGCTTGTTTGACTACAAAGCCCAGGTGCCTGTCCCTAAGCCAGGCTGTCGGGGAGCTTGGACTTTATTCTGTGTGCTGTGGGGATCTAAGCAGAGAAAGAGGAACAAATCGGGATAAAGTTCAAAGTCCTGATTGAAAAAGTGACCTTCGGGAAAAGATGCTTAGTAATTGCAGCCCTAGGACGGACAAAGTGTTTTGTTTCAAAGGTCATGATAGAAATCAGTACCTCTATTGTTCTGTGGTAGCAGCCGGGTTTAAATCTGCAATAAGAGTTTGGGGAATGGTTTTGTTCTTAAGAACAAAGCCCCTTGGCAGGGAAATGTTAGGTATTCAAATTGGTGGTCTGGTCGCGGAAAGGCACCCAGCAACCAGTTTGGGGTGAACCCGGCTGCTGGGACATGTCATCACAGCAGGGGCTGGGTCTGAAGGGGACTGTGCACAGCCTGTCTGGTCCAGACTCTCTAAGGAGTGCGTGTGCAAGACTCTCAGTTTCCACATCTGTGAAAGGTTGGTCTCCAACAGTTTTCAAACAGGTAATAGCGTCAAACTTAAGCTGACTTCAGGTCAATAAATAAAACCGATGACGTAGTAGAGCAGCTCTTTGGTTCGGGGAGGGTACTGGAACCCCTCCTCCCCGCCTCCCTCCTCCCCAGCCAGGAAGAGGCATTTACGGTGTCTCCCGCTTCTCCCAGGGAGCACTCGGGCAGCTCTAGGCTCGGGCAGCCTAAGGAGGGCTCCACCTGCGCGGTGGGTGCACCTGCCTCTTCTTTGCTGGGACCCACAGGGCGAGGCTTAGGTCAAATCCAAGTTTAGATTCAGCCACCAGCTCTGTGAGCCCTTAGCCAACGCGTTACTGTCTTGTCCCAGGTGGGCGTCTATCAAGTCTAATGGAAACTAAAAAGGTTTCTTTCTCTTTCCTTCTCAGAGAAGAGATAACAGGCTTTGCATTTGTGTGGTCAGAAAGGAATGGGGATAAGGCGGCTCTGACACCTTTCCATTTGATTCTTAGGATTCTCGAAGTCCTGGCTTAGGCTGGGGGATAGCTCAGAGCCCCTTCACA